CTGAGAAAAGAAAAGGCAAACGACGACGAGATGATGTTAGTATTTGTATCGTTGCTGTATCTAGCCAAGAAATAATAAGATGATTCTGACTTAAATAACGAGTCGCCAATTAGAGGCTCAGCTGGGGGTCAACTACAACTTGTGATCTAATATTTTGATATATATTGATGCTATATAAAAAAATAGGTATTGTATTATATTGTTTTTGCAGGAGTTTGGATTAAATCCAACTATGTCTGACAAACCGACAAAGCAAGAGTATGCTATTGCTAAATGGATACGCAAAAATGTCCAACACAAAAAAACGAAATTTGCGGGTCATAATGTTGAGTACTTCACAGGTAATTATAGTAATTTTAATTAGTAAAAATTACTTATTGAACAATTTATTTTATTTTTTGATCAAAGGGAGCAAAGCANACAATTTATTTTATTTTTTGATCAAAGGGAGCAAAGCAGTAGATAGCCTTCTTGATTCAAAATGGGTGACTAGTGAAAAACTATTTTCTACTAGAGAAGAAATTGAACTTTATTTAGATGAGTAAGTAATTTAATTTTTAATATAGAATTGCATGATTAAAATTATATATTTTATTTAGTATGTTAAAACATCAGTTCTTTCATCGTGCTAAAAAAGTTCCTATCTCGGAACAAGAACTAAAAGCAATGAAAAATAAAAAATCAAAAAAATTAAATGATACAGATAAAGAAGATAAAAAAAAATCTGACAAGAAGAAAAAAGATGATGAAAGTGAAGAAACCAGTAAAGATGATAAAAATGATGATGAAAAAAATAAAACTAGTGAAGTAAGTTAGAGCTATCATGTTTGTGTTATACTCACTCAAAATCTTAGTATTTTCTTCATTAATCTAATTTAAGAAAATTTTACTTTAAATTTTTTTTTAGTTTACTACATACTTATAAAATTAAAAATAATTGTATTTTATGAGTAGCTGATATAAATGGTCATACTAAAATAAATTTGTTTTGAAGAACCATTAAACTAAAGTTTTTGTATTCAACAGATAAATGAATTGAGTGTATTGTTGTATTTATAATCACATACATACATAATTGTATGCAAAATTGGTTCTGAAATTTATTTTGTTACTTATCTTAATCTTTGTTATTAAATTTATATATGAATATTTTTATAGGTGTTAAAAAAAAAGAAATGGGTAAGTTAATGGATTAACTAACAAATAACTCCCAAAATATCAATATCAACATGATTAAAAAAGTTATTATTAGGGCTCGGCTTTATATTCATTTATACATTTTTTTTGGACACTTTGAAAGATCTTGAGTTTGTGCAACTTTGTCGTAAGATTATATAGTAATGTAGAAAAATATTTTGTTCTTGAAGAAGTTAATCCTCCAATAATATATCTTAATAATGACATTTTAATAAGTTCTATAATCAATGAATAAAACTTTGCACTGGCAGATGTATTCAGAATAATATATAAGTTCACATCCTAGTTATTATACTGTTTATAGTATTGCCATATATAGTTTCAAGTTACCTTTTTCTACTAAAATTTAATAAATTAGAAAGAAAATCAAGTTTAATTTAAAAATTGTAGTTAAACATTATGTCTATTTATATAAATTCAACTAAAACTCAATATTTCCAGGCAAGTTACTTGATTTTAGAAAATGTATTTAGTTTTTTTATGAAATAATTAGTTTTAATAATAAACACAATAAACTTATTATTTTATAATTATTGTTAAAATTATGGAATCTCTTTTATGATTAACATGACACTTATAGAAAAAAATTAGTCACTTTCTCATACATAATTAAAAATATCAAAACAAGTGCCCTGAAATATTATATGGTGTGCTTTTTTTCTCATTGCCTGATTTATTTTATTTATTATGTAAGGTATATAAGGCATCTTGTTTCAGAAATGGCTTAGATGCCAATCATGTTTTTGGTGACCTCTCTTTTTGGTTCTCAATACTTGAATTTCTTTTTAATTGTTGATGTTAAAAATGTAAAGAATGTTTATGATTTTAAAAGATTCAATATTACACGTAATTTAACATGTGTACTTTTAAAAAAATCTATACTTTGCTAAAATTTATTAATAGAATATATTAAAATATCTTCCTATTTAAAGAATTAAAAATTTATACTATCAATAAACTTATTGAATTATGTATATTATTTTTGCTTATAGGGTGAACGTAAAAAGAAAAGTCGAAAAATTAGATTAGAAATGCATATGGAACAAGTATTTGTGGACAATCTTGATGCCTATGTTTGGATTTATGATCCTATTCCATTTTATTATTGGGTAATTGGTACCTTTATTGTTTTTGGAGGAATTGGAATATGTTTATTCCCGTTATGGCCTCCACAAGTCAGGTATATATTTTTTTTCGAACAACAAATCATTTTTTGCATTATATTTACTCACAATACACAAATTTAATATTTTTTTTTTAAATCCTAATAAAATTATTATTTGTTGGTTGACATTTCATAATTTTAAGTTAAATTTAAATATGTTATACTTAATATCTCACCTTTAATTTAAACTCCTCAACTTAAAAGATCCAAAATATTGATTTAACTTGATAAAACAGTCCATATTCCGCACAACTTTTATGAAAAATCATGAAATCATTTTAGAAAAGTTCAAAAAATAAAAATATATGTATTATTTTATGAAAATTTTACTAAGAAATATTTACTTAATTATTAAATAGCAATTATTTCAAAAACTAGTTGCAATAGATGAAATCTGAATTTGAAATCAACATCCAAATTCCTCTTAAAATTCATATAAAAATTGTAAATGATAAAAAAAAAATATTTTTTTGTATTATTATTATTATTGTATTTTAATTTATAAATTTGTTTTTATTACATTTAACAAATTCTATTTTTAGAATGGGTGTACAATACTTAAGTATAGCTGCTGCTGGTTTTCTGATATTTATTATTGTGTTAGCAATCCTCAGATTAGTATTATTTAGTATCATTTGGATTTTATCAGCCGGTAAGCTACATTTTTGGTTGTTCCCTAATTTAACAGAAGATGTAGGCTTTTTTGCTTCATTCTGGCCAATTTATACAGTAAGTTAAAAAGTAAATCATTCTTGTAAAATTGCTAAAAAAAAAACATTTTTTAGTATAGTGTGATTTCCAAAAAGAGTAATAAAAAAGGTAAAAAGAAAAAAGAAAAATTATCAGATGATGATGATGAAGAAGAAGAAGAAGAAGAAGATAAATTGCCAAATGTATTTGAAGATGAAAAGAAATCAGAAACAGAAGTTAAAGTTATTGAAGACAAACAAGCAGATTTTGAAAACTTTACTGTTGATCTAACGCCCGATAAAGAACATCCAAAGTAGAATATGCTTAGTAATATTTGCATGCATCATAAACCGATCAGCTTTAATGCTTTGTAAAATTATATACCATATCAAAAAAAAAAAATATAGGGTTCAAATAAAAACATGTTTTTTTTATTTTTATTTGTGTCAATTTTATTATTATTGTTATATTTGTCATTTATAAAATAATTTTTGAATGCATAATTGTTCCTATAAAATTTGTAAATTTGTCGTTAAATCAGTTATTAAAAACTAATTGCATGGATAATAAAAATTTTGTCTTGAAAATTATTTGCTGTGATGTATATGTTATTGCTAAAATTATACTAACATTTTGCCAATTTACATTAATTTTTTGTTGTTTTGTAATGCTTTTAAAAAAATTATGCTTATTAACATATCCTTACTAAGAAAAAATTGTGGCTGCGGAATAAAATTTAATGATTTTTCAGTATAACATTTTTTTTGTAATGTTATATCATTAATGACTCAAGTCTAAGTATATTTAACTACTATTTTAGTAAAAGTTATATTATTCTTACACAAGAAAAATTCTGAAAGCTTCTATATTATATAAGTTTTCATTTATGCATCATAATCTAACTGTATAGCANTATAAGTTTCATTTTATCAATCATAATCTAACTGTATAGCTTACTATTAAAAGTAGTAATAATTTAATTTTAAATTTAAGTCCTTGAAAAATAGAATTTGTATTTAATTTGCCAGTTTTTGTACGAGTTATTTATTTAGATTGTACTTATTATATATTTTAAATGAATTTCATGCTTTGAGAAAATTTAAGGAAATATCAATAAAAAGATGAAGTATATATTTATACATAATAAAAAAATTCTATTAGTAATATGCTCTAGGTTTATTATCAGAACATTATATGCATTAATAAATTTTGTTAAGTTAATTCGAACATAATATCAGTCAGTAAAAATTTGTATTAATTATCTTAAAGATTTAAAAATGTGTTTTTTCTAATGTTAAAGTTTTAGAATGGTTAATTTTCCTCTAAAATCAAAAATATTTTTGCGTTTATGTATAATCTTACAACATAGTTGAACAAAATTGGGTCCCTTCTAAGTGGATCAAACAAAATTTATAAATGCATATTATTCACAGCTATATTTATTATTAACATGCTTGTTGAAAAGAGTTATTATTAATTTAATAAAATTCAACTTATATTTCTTTTAAAAGTACATTTTTCTTTAGGTTTTCTGAAGATTCTTCTACTGATACAGAATCAAGCAGTCAATTATCACATACTGGTAATGATTTTGTAATTGTGGATAAGCAAGATGCCCAAGAAACACAATGAGAAAATACAGAAATCATATTTGTTCTGTAATTGTTTGTTATTGTTTTTTTATTTTTATTTGTCAGATAAAAATATCAAATCCTTTTATGAATGTTTTCCATTTTAGCTTTGTGCTATGCTATATTTTTAATAGAAAAATAATATGATAAATATTGTTCACTGTTATCCTATCATCTAACTTACTTAATAAAGTGCATTACTATTTTTATACAATTGTGTAATTGCTAAAAAAAATCTTGCTAGGTTCTATAAATAATTTCAACTGTTTTCAAACTCTACAGGTAATGTAATAATGCTTGTTAACTATAAATATATAGTAATTTTTGTAACTTATATTTAACTAAAAGTTTGTAAAATTGTTAATAATTGAATAATTTATTAACAACATATCTAGCTAATACCCTAATTTAATTAGATAATAAAAGTGAACGTGAATTTAACAAAAATAATTATCAAGTAATTAATATCCACATCTTCAGTCAAGTAATTTGACTTTAGTAATTTATTACTACAGTGATAATGAAAAAATTAAATAAAATGATTAATTAATAATATTCAAAATAGGCTGCAGTTCTATTTGAGGAAAGAAAGAGAATATTATAAAATAATTTGAAAACGTAGAGCTCTTGATGTTTATTTTTTATAACAAAAATATAAAATTAAATTATCGATTTAAGATTGATAATAATATATTAATTAATAGATTCAATTCAAAATTATATTAAAATTAAAACTCATTTGTTACATGTTATCACTATAACAGCACACAATAATATAATTTTCGTATACTTGTTTTTCATAAATTTTAAACGCAGAATTGGTTTTTAGTAAGAATAAAATTTATTATTCTGTAAAACGAAATAATTAAAAAATTAAAAATTCCACTGAGGATTATTGATAAGAGTAATTGCTATTTAGTGGCGGCAATTTAAATTTATACTGATATACGCAATTGAAATTTATCGATCATGCAACATGCATGTCTAACATAGACAGTGATAAGTTATAGAAAATTTTAAAACTCAAATCATATATATGATTATATATTGAGGAATGTTGCTGATTAGGTAATATCAGATGATTAATATCTTACCATATAATAAATTAAGGAATAATTCCTATCAAAATATCATTACTCAAATAATCTTTATTCTAAAGGAACAAACAAAATTGGTTTATTAGAGTATTGTAGAAAAAAATTAATCTTTAATTTATTTGTCAAAAATTTTAATGCAATCTTAATGCTAATTTTACTTGCAAAAACTTTTTTGTTTATTTCTTGATGAATAAAGTTAGTTAATTTTTTCATTTGTTCAACCATTTTCAGCTTTTTAAAAACAATTTCTCAAAGTGAAATAGCAATTATTTTTGCATCATTTTTTTTTTCAAATTATCTTAATTAAGAGAATATAGGTAAATATAGACTTATACTTTTTCAATAATTATGCAACATGATTCTTTTAACACTATATTTCTCTTAAAATATTAAGTTTTTGGTGAATTTATTTTTTTTGGACCAGTAATCAGAAGTTATTAACAGTTTTAAGAAATGAAAATAGGTAAGAGGTATTGCTATTTTTATCATTATATATTTATTCCTCCTGCCTACTTATAAAAATGTTAATAACTTCTGAATTCTAAGATGTTATTGACTAATCTTTTTCTTAATTAGATCATTATCCAACTACTAAGCTAGTTAATTTGTATGTTGTTATTTGAAAAAATTAAGTTGACACCTTTTTGAAGTAAGAGGAATGAACATAAAACATGAATTATATATGTAAATAATATAAGCCAAAAAAATTATTGTTAAATAAAGTCTTATACATTTTATAACATTTTGAGCTTATTATTTTTTTTTTATTGGGTTCTTGACCAATAATCACTTTGGGTTTCCTCAACTAATTTATTGTTCTATATTTAGAATAGAATCTTATTGAATGTGTTGATATACCTACTTATATATATAACAAAATTAAATTTTAAGGCGAAAATTAAATGGACAAAAATTTTATTGAGAATAAAAATAAAAGTATCGAAAACAAAATTTTATCATCTACCAAAAAAAAGATATCATTAAAAATAAATCATTGTAGAAGACCAGGTTTGGTCTATAGAAATTTGGTGAAGAATTTGGTAAACTCTGAGAAAACTAGTGTATATTTTAAAAACTCTATAGGGAAACAATGGATACCACCTAGGTCACCTTATGCTTTGATTCAAGAAGACCTTTTCCATGATCCTTGGCAACTGTTGATTGCTACAATATTTTTAACCAAAGTTACTGGTAATATTAGCTAATCAATAATTTAATTTTACCTGATTCTTTTAATGCATAATACGTTTTGTTTTTAACAGCTAAAATGGCTATACCAAAAATTCATAAATTTTTTAAAAAATGGCCAAAACCAGAAGATGTTAAGAAAGCAGAAACATTAGATTTACTTCGATCTGTTGATAATTTAGGATTAGAAAATACAAGAGTTAAAACTATTAAAGGCTTCACTGGTAGGTTAACAATATTTTTTTTATATTTTTAACATAACTAGTTTAAATCATACATTTTTATTTGCAGAAGATTATTTGACTAAAGATTGGAAGTATCCTATAGAATTATATGGGATTGGAAAATATGGTAATGATTCGTATAGAATATTTTGTGTTAATGAATGGAAACTTGTACAACCTGATGATATTATGCTATCTAAATATAAAGAATGGCTTTTACGGAATGAAGAAACTTTTGGCTTATAAAACTGTTTATATTTTTACTTTGTTTATGATTTATTATTTTATTGATAATTTTTAAAGACCTATTTATATATTTCATTATCATGTTATTGTAGATTATAATTTTTTTTAAATTTATTAGTAACATAATTATAATATTACATTTTTTAATCTAAATACTGTTGAAAATTTATCAAATAATATATAGCGAATCATTTCAACCCTAGAATTAATATTTTACAGTTATTATTTACTCCTATTATAAATAGACCAATACTTTTTCTGCATTTAATAATTATTAAATTTGTTCTGTCACTAAGTCATATTGGTGAAACTAGGAAGTCAATAGAGTCAAAAGGTTATTATATTTATACTAAAATTTATATAATAAAAATTGATCACTTGTGGCTAATTAATTAAGTAAAATTAAAACTATATTAAAAATATTATTAATTTAAAAAAATATTAAAATACTGATGTATCTGGTCAGTATCTGTTTAGCGTTGATAATGGTAACATTGTTTCCGAAATACGTATCCGCAAATACGTATTTTCATTAATTTTTTGTGCTTTGAGTTTAATATTTTTTAGTTTTTTTAAATTAATAATATTTTTAATATAGTTTTAATTTTAATTAAAATTTATATTTTATAAAATATAAATTTGATTATTTTAATTTAATATTTGAGTAATGCAAGAATAATGAGATATACCTGAACTTACTACAACATAATCGTACAGTACAAAAAAGAATCTTAAATTTGATTTAACTCTGAATGGTGTAAATATTCTGTTATATATTACATCAAAACCTGCTAACTTTACCAAAAATTCTATGATTTTTGGCTTTAATGTCCAATAACTTCTAAAAATCTTGATTTCATATAGTTTTTCTATTTTAAAGTACATTGTATTAATTATAATTTGATGTTGAATTAAAAAATTTAGGTTCTTTGGAACTTATATATAATTGAAAAGAAAAAAAAATCATTATGTTTATGTTCCCACGGTACCTTAGTCAATGATTATATTTTCAAGAAAAAAAGCATGTAGTCAGTAAGACAAATATTAGAATTATTCTCAATAAAAATTTCAGTGTAACGTGGTATAGTTTGGACAACTATAAATGATATCTTACAGCGATTAGCATTTATATCATGAAAAATACTGTATCTAACATAATTGTTATAAGAGATCTTGAAATAATCATCTTATAAATTGGCAATAGAACTTAACACAAATTTAAAAAACAATAAGTTTTTATTACACTTAGTATGGCACATAAATATAAATTCACTAACCAAATAGAATAATACTCAGTCAATCAGGACGGTGGGAATATGAAAAGTATGAATGATGTACGACAATGCTTGAGTGAACATGCAAATACTCGAGAGTTCTATTTCAAAACTTGATGAAGACATCGAAAAAAACAAGCAAATATACCCTTTATACTTATATAAATTTGTTCTATTTTTCGATTGTATTAAAATAATGAATACACTATCTATTAACATTTAACCACATTATACTAATTATACATATATTAGTATATTGCACTATCATTTAGAATATGCACAATTATACACATGCTTTTATTATTAAGCGGCATGAGGAGGACATGCTAAAGAAAAAACATAAGTACATTTTGTAATATTCTTCTCTGGAATATTAAAAAAAAATCAATACCTTTTTATTTTTCAGACCACAGAAAAGAATACGCTAACACTATTACGCATATAATTCTGATCTTGGCCACTATAAAACAGCCATGAGTCATTGTCTTTCTCAGCATCTTTGAGGCACTACAAAAGCATTAAATAAGGGAAGTTAATAAAAAGTAACTGTCTTGCCTTGATTGCAGTACAGATTGGTGCTCAATATGTCTATGAAAAGACATGAGACAATTGAGACACCCCATCCCTGTTTATGTCGATTGTGGTACATTATATAAAGACTGAAGACCATGTTTTTCTAGTCAGTCACTCATTCACTTTCTTGTCTCTTATTCTCAATTAACAATCTCATTTATCAAGTTAAAATCTTTAAAATTATTCCCTACATATTCTAGCGTATTCTTTATACTGTGCCTCTATAGTTTAACTTTTCTCACTAAGTTTAAAACGTACATTTGTTAAAATAACTAACTCTTTGCTTAAAATATTTACGCTTGTATAATTCCCGTATAATTCTCTTTTATTAATTTACCTAATATAATTTTAATAACACTCTTAACAACCACAAGTCTATACAATCAAGAATCTATCATCATCAGTGAATATAAGATAAGGGTAGTTTTAATACACTAACTACATTAATCAAGTAATAACTAGAAACAAAGTACTTGTATTTATTATGTCTTTACGGATGATGTCATTATCATTCTTTTTTATTAATAGCATCCCCATCAACTTTATTTTTAGTTATTACAATACTTCAATGCAAATCTGTTAAATGTCACAACAATTTGCAATTTTTCAAAATATCGTAGGATAGTTTCTTTAAAAATTTTAGTTCTAGAATTCACCTAGCTGGTGATCTACGAGCCTTTGGTGCGTAAGCTTCTTTAGGCCATCCTCGTAAGTAGGCCACTAATTCCGGTTGGAGTACCCGGATATGCCAGGCACGGATAAGAGTTTTGCAAGAAAGATATTACATCAAAATCAGTATAACAAAAGTATATTAAAAATGTAATTATTAAAATCAGGAAAATTGAAACAGAGAAAATAGTAAAATGTATTGGGTATAAGGTTGATGTTTGTTACTGGGATATTCCCCTTCGGCGTAATCATAAATTATTTTACATATTTTTTTTTTACTTTGGTAAACATGCTATTGAATTTTTTTGCTAAAAAACAAGATGATGATAAATAATCTGTAGCACAGTGGGGTCGCGTGTGTATGGATGTGGCATAGTTAGGACAAGCATAGATCAGGGCTCGAAATGGACCGGAACGTAGTTCCGGTTCACGACAAAAATTTTTTAGCGTTCCGGCTCGTAAAAAAAATACATTAGTATGTAGTATGTATTAAAAAAAAATGCGTTCCGGTTCAAAAAATTTTCCATTTCGAGCACTGGTATAGATGATATCTAATAGTGATTGGAATCACTGTCATAAGAAACGCTTTGATGCAAATCTGTAGATAGTGTTTAATTTTAAGAAATTGGTAGATTATTTCAAAAGCAACAATAACTCGTATTCCTTTGATTTTATCCCGATTAGTTATTTGATTTATAATTTTAATATATGAATAAATAATAATTATAATAATTAAATTTAGTATGAAATTGATATTCAATAATTTAATAATGTAATTTTCACGGAGATATTATAAAAATAATAAAGTAATAGTATATTTCTTAACTTTTAACACGTATAAAAATTTAAAGAGTTTGACGCAATACTTTTCAATAAAAAATGTTTGTTACTTATAACAAGGTTATAAATTTTATACACTGGACTACAAGGAACATTCACAGAAACAAAAATATACTTCTCTAAATTAACTTTTCGCGGTGTTTTCAAATATGCAATTAGATTTCTTCTATCACTTTTAAGTTTTAATATTATTACTTATTATTAAAAAATAAGTATTTACATATAAAAAAAAACCCAACACAGTGGGGTTGCGGCACAGTATAGACGTGGCATAGTTGAGTCCAGTATAGATTTAATCTGACAGTGATTAAAATCACTATTATTAGAAACGTTTCGATGCAAATCGGTAGTGTTTAATTCTAAGAAATTGGTGGATAATTACAAAAGAAAAATGAACTCCTATTTTCTTATTAATAACATGAATTTATTACCATAACTTTTAGCTCAACTTACAAGTTTGAAATTAACATCATTAAATAGAAAAAAAATTAAATTGTTAAGATTAATATGCTGTCAGCAAATTTTATAATTACTATTTACAGGAAATTTATCAGAAAAGTTCGATTTTTTTTACATTTTTATCGTAATAGATCACTTAAATAATAATCATAGTAATCATTTATAATTAACTTTTGATGTTTAAAAAGATTCTACAATTGAAATATACAGAACTGAATTAATTTTAATGATTTACTTTAACTAAAAACCATTAAAAAAAAATTGTTAAAAAGATCTACTCAATTGAACGTATTATAAAATTTAATTATAATTGTAAAAGTCGATTGATAAATTGAGGTGAAACTAAAAATCATTTTTTTTTTTTTATATTTGTGTTTTATATAACAACATGTTACCAAAAAATTTGGAATTTTATAGTCTAGTAGCAGCACGCACAAATAGAGTAAAATGATTTAATTTTGTAATTGAAACCTATCATATCAAACTTAATTCGTCAATAAATACTTTGAAAACATTATAAATGAATGATTTTAATTGTCTGTATAGAAAACATTAAGAATTAAAAAAAAATTCTTTACCATACATGGGTTGAAACTTTGTACTCCAAGCGCGTTAGACACAAATGTTACCGACTCGGCAATCGTTCGAGGCTTCCGTCGGTTGAATAAAATGACAATTTAAGCTAGTTCAAATTTCAAAGTTATTTTTTTTTTTTGACTTAAATAAAGCAAAAAAATTAAAATAAGTTTAACATTCTATGCCATATTAATTTGATTTATATAATATTTATGAAAATCAGTGTACTCCTCTTGTCAGGTATTTTAAAATCAAATAAAATACAAAACGCAGAATTTTAACACAAAAATAGCATATTTTTAAATACGGTTGTCATTTTCACCATGAAGACAAGTCCAGAGGTCAAATTTTTTTTCAATATAAAGTATATCACATATGCTTTAATTTGAGGTATATATAAAAGTGTCAGTATTTCTGGAACATTTTCAAAAGTTAAGTTGAAAAAGTTAATGTTTTGTGAAAAAATTGTCATTTTTGAAACCCTTCCTGTGGGCTGGTAAAGGGTCAAATTTTATAAAAATTTATCAAATGATAGAAAAATACCTAAGGTACCTATAAAAAAAAATTATATTGATTTGGTCATTTTTAACAAAGTTATAGTAGTTTTCAGTAAAAAAAAAATTGAAAAAATGTCGAAAATTAGCGATTTATAAATTTGTAATTTTTTAGAGGATTTTCCTCGTTTACGGAGAACAAAGGAATTTTTAAAGATTATGTCTTCGACTAGATACGATTTGTGATCTTTTGACGTATTGTTCATCAAAATCAGTCCAGCGAGACCTGAGATTGAGCGTTCACAGAC